CAGGACGGTAATTGAAAGTACATGTAAGACAAGAAATGACTCATTATTACTATTATTAATACTGCTCTGTAAATTCTGACTAATGAGGTTAAAACAAGGAGTGCAAGTAAGAATCATAACTACTGGAAAGTAGATAAAGCTTAGCAGTGTTGGAGGATAATGTGATTATGGATAATGAAAAACACAATAGATCAACTGAAAAGTTAAAATAAATTTTACTGTATGTCAGCAATAATGGTTATGTAGAAAATATAATGGGTTAAAAAAGATTTATTTGCAATATGCAAATACATGCACAAAAAGTACCAAACACCTTGAAGTAACTTTCAGATGAGTATATGGAACTAAAGAAAAAAATCAACACAAATTTGTTTTAAACTCTATAAAAATTGAAATATTTCTGTTACTTTTTATTTTTTTTCAGATTAGACAAAATCGTTCTCCACAATTAAAAAAAAATCAAGGTAGTTTTAGAAACTAGGAGTAATTGCAGGCAATTTGTCTTATCATATACTAAAGTTTTAAAATAAACTAGAACAAAAATCTAGACAAATAAATGAACAAATATATAGTCTTAAAATAGACTGTAATAGATATGAAGGATTTAACATATCCTCAGGAAATGATCGGATTGTTGTAGTTGTTGGATACCATTGAGTCAGTGCTAATTCATAGTGACCTTATGCACAACAGAACCAAACACGGCCTGGTCCTGCACCAACCCCATAATCGTCGCTACACTCGAGCCTATTGCTGCTGTCACTGTACCAATCTGTCTCGTTGGGCCTTCCTCATTGTCACTGACTCTCCACTTTACCAAGCATGTTGTCCTTCCCCAGAAACTGGTCCCTCCTAATAATATGTCTGAAAAGGAGCTCTGGTAGCATAGTGGTTACAAAGCGGGCTGCAAACCACAAGGTCAGCAGTTCGAAACTTCCAGCCGTGGGAGAAAGATGAAGCTTTCTGCTCCCGTAAAGATTTACAGCCTCGGAAACCCTGTACAGGGTTGCTATGAGTCAGAACCGACTCCACAGGCACATAACAACAACAACAATATGTGAGATGAAGTCTGGACATCCTGACTTCTCAGAACATTGAGAAGTATGAGTATTCCAGAACACTTAATTGTACTTCTAAGAAATCTGTACCTAGACCAAGAAGCAGTTGTTAGAACAGAACATGGGAACACTGAATGATTTAAAATTGGGAAAGGTGTGAGACAGGGTTGTATTCTTTCACCATACTTATTCAACCTGTATGCTGAGCAAATAATATGAGAAGCTGGGTTCTATGAAGAAAATCATGGCATCAGGATTGGAGGAAGACTCATTAACAACCTGCGATATGCAGATGATACAACCTTGATCGCTGAAAGTGAAGAGGACTTGAAACATTTACTTATGAAGATTAAAGAGCACAGCCTTCGATATGGATTACATCTCAATGTCAAGAAAACAAAAATCCTCACCACTGGACCAATAAACAACATTCTTATCAATGGAGAAAAGATTGAAGTTGTCAAGGACTTCATTCTTCTTGGATCAACTATCAACACTCGTGGAAGCAGCAGTCAAGAGATCAGACGACGTATTGCATTCGGCAAATCTGCTGCACAGGAACTTTTTAAAGTGTTGAAGAGCAGAGATGTCAGCTTGAGGACTAGGGTACGCCTGACCCAGGCCATTATGTTTTCAATAGCCTCATATGGATGCGAAAGCTGGACAGTGAATAAGGAGGATCGTAGAAGAATTGATGCCTTTGAGTGGTGGTGTTGGAGGAGAATACTGAAAGTGCCATGGACTGCCAAAAGAACCAATAGATCTGTTTTGGAAGAAGTGCAGCCAGAGTGCTCCTTGGAGGCCAGGATGGCTAAGCTTCGTCTCTCCTACTTTGGACATATTGTCCGGAGGAAACAATCGTTGGAGAAGGATGTCATGCTGGGTAGGGTGGAGGGTCAGAGAAGAAGAGGAAGACCCCCAACGAGATGGATCAGCCAGGTGGCATCATTGATGGACTCAGGTGTGGCGGCGGTAGTGAGGTTGGCCCAGGATCGAACATTGTTTCTTTCTGCTGTGCATGGGGTCGCTATGAGTCGGTTCCGACTCGATGGCACCTGACAACAACAACAAGAAGCATTCTGGCTGTACTTCTTTCAAATTGGTAAACAGATTAATGAGCAGGAATGTGCATTGTAATTTAATTTAAAATTAGCTGCCTTGCCCTAGCGTACTCATTAGAATAAGTCACTATTATTCAATAAATAAATCCACATCCCTGGTGCTAATCACCATGAAACAGATTATTTGAAATCTCTATGAGAAAGAGCTCGATTGCAAGTCCATGTTTTAAAAACCCATCTAACTAAGCATGGCTTTTCTATCCTTATTGCACCTCTTGTCATTCCCCAAGTTCAGCTGCTTTGATGGATGAATGCATTTTTCAGTGTCCCTTGAAGTTGTTGTTTTTAATCCATATAGCCTTTATTTAGGGTTGTAACACAACAATATAACCTTAAGGGTATACCGTTTGGCTGTTTGAGTGCTTCGGTATACATGCAAAAAAACAAAACAACAGAGAGATTGGAAGCCGAATGCTGTTGAATGATGAAACCTGGAGGGAATTAAAACCATTGCAATGAAACAAAATATGATAGGATGAATGTGAAACTGATGCTTTCCCATGTAAACTATCACTCAATTCACAATAAAAACTTATAAAAACAAAAACAAAAGGTAAAATCCTTCCCGACATTTTTGTGAGCTTGAGTAGCATATAACAGGTAAGAACTTCACTTTTTATTATGATAAAAAAAAATTCGAAACAATCTAAGCAGTCAACAATGAAGAATAGTTAAAGCAAATGTTTGTACACTCACACAATGTAACATATTACATTAAAAAGTGTAAATGATATTGTTCTTCCCTGGAAGTGAGTAATGAGTGATTAAAAAAAATTTTTTTTAATGTTTTATTATCATATTTCATCTTATGTTCCAAATCTTTTCAAATATGACCATTGGTGGTAGTGGTTATGTGCCGTGGAGTCGGTTCCAACTCATAGCGACCCTGTACAGGGTTTCAGAGGCTGGAAATCTTTACGGGAGCAGAAAGCCTCATCTTTCTCCTGTGGAACAGCTGGTAGTTTTGAACTGCTGACCCTGAGGTTAGCAGCCTGATTCATAACCACTACGCTAAGATTAGCCTACATTAAAAGATGAGTATCATTAAAGGATTGCAATATATAATAATAAGGATTAGAGTGATCAATAGCAAATTGTGTGTCGATTATTATTTAACAATATTAAAAATTACTTTTAGTTGATTTTACAAATCTATATAATATATGTAAGATACATATCATAAATATAAATATGTCTTTGATTTTATCGGGGTATATAAATACATATTATACATGGACTGTGAACCAAAAGATCACAGCTGTTCCTCAGAAATTCTGTAAAGGGTCACTATGAGTTGGAACCAAGTCAACGGTACTTAACAACAGCAATAAATATAAGTATATATATATATATATATATCTTTGTAAAATCAACAATTAAATCATATATCCCAAATGCATGCAATCCTGTCATTTTCACCATCAAACAACTGAGTAAGACACCACTGTTATTTCAAAGTAGTTTATCTAAGAACAGGGAAAGTTCTTTAAAATGTTCTTGTTGTTAGGTGCCATTGAGTCGATATCGACTCATACCAATCTTATGCACAGCAGAACGAAACACTGTCCGATCCTGGGCTAACCTCACAATTGTTGCCATGCTTGAGCCCATTGATGCTGCCACTGTGCCAATTCATCTCACTGGGGTCTTCCTCTTTTTCTCTGACCCTCCACCTTACCAAACATGATTTCCTTCTCCAGCGAGTGGTCTCTCCTGACAAAATGTCTGAAGTATGAAAGATGAAGTTTGGCCATCCTGGCCTCCAAGGAGCACTCTGGCTGTACTTCTTCCAACACAGATCTGTTGGTTCTTTTGGCAGCCTGTGGCACTTTCAATATTCTCCTCCAACACCATGATTCAAAAGCATCAATATTCTCCTCCAACACCATGATTCAAAAGCATCTTCTATGGTCTTCCTTATTCACTGTCCAGCTTTTGCATGCATATGAGGTTATTGAAAATACCATGGCTTGGGTCAGACGCACCTTAGTCCTCAAGCTGACATCTATGCTCTTCAACACTTTAAAAAGGTCTTGTGCAGCAGATTTGTCTAATACAATACGTCGTCTGATCTCTTGACTGCTGCTTCCATGATGTTGATGGTTGATCCAAGAAGCATAAAGTCATTGACAATATCAATCTTTACTTCATTGATAAGAATGTTGTTTATTGGTCCAGTGGTGAGGATTTTTGTTTTCTTGACATTGAGATGCAATCCATACCGAAGGCTATGCTCTTTGATCTTCAGCAGTAAATGTTTTAAGTCTTCTTCACTTTCAGCAAGCAAGGTTGTATCATCTGCATATCGCAGGTTGTTAATGAGTCTTCCTCCAATCCTGATGCCATGTTTTTCTTAATATAACCCAGCTCCTCAGATTACTTGATCAGCATACAGGTTGAATAAGTATGGTGAATGAATACAACCCTGTAGCACAACTTTCTTAATTTTAAACCATTCAGTGTTCCCATATTCTGTTTGAACAACTGCCTCTTAATCCATGTACAAATTCCTCATGAGCACAATTAAGTGTTCATGAATACTCATACTTCGCAATGTATGCTGTTAAATTCTTAACTGCTGGATTTTCATACCTTCAACATGTATAGTAAGAATGACAAATCATACCTACCATGCCCCAAGTAAGAACAAAAATATAGGCATTATAATTAACTTACCATACATACTTCAGCTCAAAGAACTGACAACAACAACAACAAAAAAACCCATGTAATTGGTGCATGTATTTGTTAATGCTGTGGTTTAAAATACAGTCATCAGCTTTTTGGCAAAGAAGTGAATTAGACAATAATTCTATGGATTTTATTCTAAAAATAATTTACACCTAGATGAATCCTTTCGGAAAATTTTACCAAATAAAACCATCTTCAGTGCCCTTCTGAACCAGGGATAGAAAAAAGCATAAACCATTGGATTAAAAGTAGAGTTCAAGTAGCCGAACCAAATCAAAGCTTCATTCAAGGTGGGTGGGATAGTGTAGCCCACGAAAGGGTCTGCAACTGTGCAGACAAAAAAAGGGCACCAGCATATCAGAAACACCCCCATCACAATCCCTAATGTCTTTGCAGCTTTCCGTTCTTTGCTTTGTGAATTTCTGTTTTTCTCTTCCAATCCATTTGGAAGCTTCTGATTTGCATTATTAATTGATCTTGCCTGCCTTTTAGCTATGAAATATATTCTATAATAGATATACAACATAATCGATGCAGGTATGTAGAATGAAGTCATGAAGGCCACTACCCCAGATGCTTTACTAAAGAAGACAGAGCAACCCCCTATGCAGTGAACATGTTTGTAATATATCTCTTCAGCTCCTTTGATGTTTAGCTCCAGAAAGATCATTCCAAATGCAAAAATAGCAGGGACACTCCAACAAATGAAGATCATTGCAGAAATAACCAAGATACTGATTCTGGTTTTGTATCTCAGTGGGTCACACACTGCATAGTAGCGATCAATGGAAATGAAGGACAAATGAAAAATGGATGCTGAGCTCAGCATAATGTCAGTGCTGGTGTGGATTTTACAGAAGACTTCTCCAAAATACCAGTAGTGCTCAACAGACCTCACCATGCTGTAAGGCATGACAAGGCAGCCCAGAAGAAAGTCTGCAGTGGCCATTGAATGAATGAGCCAGTTCGTTGGGGTATGAAGTTGTTTGAAGTGTGATATAGAAATAATAACTATCAGATTGCCAACCAGTGTGGTGAGAATTATGAGCACCATTAAGCTGTACAAGCTAGCACGGATGCCATTTGACCAGTTGTTTTTTGTGCAAGAAACGTTAATCCTATCATGACACAAGGACATCATTCCTAGAGGTTATCCACTGGTTTCTTTTCCCTTTTATGTCACAAGCAATCTCTCTCCTGAGTCCATAATCAAATTAGGGTTCATTCTCCTCCATTTGCATGCATCTGTCCCAGAAACCTAGGGAGGGAAAACACAAGAGTAAAGTATGGGCAATTTGAACACATTTACCTACTACCTCTGTTTAAGAACAAATCACTTTTTAAAGAGCCTTATTTCCAAGTTCAGTTCAATAGTTCAGTTCAACAACGATTTTGTTAACATTTACTGTGTGCAGGTACTATGATTGGCATGCAATAGGAATTACTAGTTTGAACTATATGAAATTGCTGTTTTTGTAGGTCAGACACAGTCAGATAATGATTATTTCATATTCTTTAATCTATGGAAACATTTTTTCCCAACAGGAAGTCAGAATACAGAGGCAGAGGGTTTTTTTCATACTATGAAATTTATAAGCTTGCAATAAACTAACACCTCTGTTGTTGTTGTTAAATGCTGTCGAGCTGGTTCTGACCCAAAGTGACCCTGAACAGGATTTCCAAGGCTGTAAATCTTTGCGGGAGCAGAAAGCCTCATCTTTGTCCCACGGAGCAGCTTGGTAGTTTCGAACTGCTGACTTTGCGGTTCGCAGCCCAATTTGTAACCACTACGCTACCAGAGCTCCTCACGCTACCAGAGCTAACATCTATTAGTTGCTATAAATCTTTTACTTACACTTTTCCTTACTATTTCTCTCTTTTGTTTATGTTGTTGACATAGTAAAGGAACCAAGAGATGCCCACAATCACTGTTTAGTAGAGTTTGCTAATTAATGATGACCAAAAAATTCTTGTCAGATATCATGTTAAGTAGAATTTTTCAGTAGGAGCTAGATTCCAAAGAAACAAACCAAAAATATGTAAGGTGGAAAAAAAAATTGCTATTTAATTTTAGGAATCTTGGTGTGGTTCTGTGGGTTAATGTGCTGAACTGCAAAGTTGGTTTGAACCACAAGATCATAGGTTCAAGCTCATCAGCTGCTCCTGGGAAACCCTATACAGGGTTGCTATGGGTCAGAACTAACTCGATGGCACTTAACAACAATAACAACTGATTTAATGGAAGATGGAAAAGCTATTTGACAATATTATATGTCTTGTTCCTTGCACATCTAAACTATTAGGTTCTCAAATAAAAATCAGAAAAACTCATAAATGTCCTATGATGACATTTCGAGTTGAATGTTTATCAAAGAACATGGAAAACAGTGTTTTGTACCTTTTTTTTACAGCCCTCGAAGTTTTGTTAGCAAAAAGTAGCTATTATTTGTATATGCAAATTATCCAGACTGAAGAGACTTCCCTTAGGAATAAGGGAAGTTAATAAATCTCTCTTTGATTACCTAGTAAAGCAAACAGTTCTGCGGAAATGATGTGAAAATCTAATGTTTAAAAATGACATATAATTTAAAAATAGGTTTGTAGGGGAATTGAAAATACATCTTTCTAGCAGGGTAGGGTAAGTGTCATCTTGTAATCATTGGCTTTCCAGATCATTGTCCCTCCCTCCTTCCTTCTTTGCAAGCTTTAAACAGGCTTCCAACTGGTTCATTCTGGTTCAATCCACTGCAGGAAATTTATATTCAACCCCAGATATACAAAATCTACATTTTAACAAGATTCCCAGGTGATTCTTCCTGACGTTGTAGGAGCTTCTTATACATAAGAATCACCTGGGGGGGTCTTGTAAAAATGTAGATTCTGATTCAGTATATCTGGGGTGAAAATGCAAGTTCTCAGTAGGGGGTGGAACCAGAATGCACAGGCTCAAAACCCTGACACTGAAGCTCATGTCTTCAAGCCATAGTCCTTCAAGTCTTTGAACCCATTCGTTTTTCTAGTTGAAGTCCTCTACAGATTCCCAAGTCATTTCTCTTTGTTTCTTGAAGATGTTAGCTCCTGGTGTACCGTCACTCTCTCCGATTCTCCTCAGGCCAATATTCTTGGTAGTTTTATTATTTACATAAATGATCACTCCAATCATAAACTTGACCTACAGTCTTCCAACAAGCATGTTTCAACATGCATGTCTTCCACTCCATTTCATCACACTTTTTCAAGATTATATCCCAGAATCCATCATTGTCGATAATGGAGCCCGTCTAATTACTTGTTTCCAACTCCACACCTTCCCAGGCACTTCCACTTGAACATTTGTCCCAACAATGTTGAAACACTGTAAATCCCTCAAGTAATTTCTTTACCAGCTTTTCCTTATTCTTCATTTACTCAATTCGCCATTTCACCCTGTTTAAATTCCTGTATTGTCTCGCAATATCTTATATTCTCTCCTGTCAACATACTTCCCTGGCTAAGCTTGAACTCTGGTAAAATTCAGTTTTCTTCCCACCCCACTTCTTGACATATGCAACTGGATGTGGTGGAGAAAAGCACTCAAGCAGCCTCCTTTGCAACTCATGACATAAATGGACTGTTACAAATAATCAATACCCTATGCTATTTCTTCATGACTCCCATTCATCTACATTCTGAGATGACTGTTTCATACTGTCTCCTTCCTTGAACCTCCAAAATCTTTCATCTTCACTGTCATCTAATAATCTAGCATCCTGTTTCACTAAGAAATCGATACAATCAGAAGAGATTGTCCACATTGCCTCCTCCACATCTACCATCATCAGTCTATATCTTTTCACAAATTCAGTCAGCCCTCCGAAACTCCAAACTGATGATCTCTTTTGATAGACTGTTCTTTCTTACTTGCATGATACTCATCTCTTCATGCCTCCTCAAGGATAAAAAAGAAAAGAAAAGAAAAGAAAAGAAAAGAAATGCCATGACAACCCTAGTTGTATCAGAATACAGCTGTTCTCCACAGGGTTTTCAGTTGTGGAGTTTTTGGGAAATGGATCCCCAGGCTTTTTTTTTTTTTTCTGGCTTTAACCTCCAATTTCAGGATGGACTAAAACTTGTAACTTCTCAGTTAGCATCTGAGCATGTTAACTGTTTGCATAACTCAAGGATTTCTCTCAGGAGCAAAGCAAAAACCAAACCCACTGGCATCTAGTTGATCCGGACTCACACAGGACAGGGTGGAGCTGCTCCATGGGCCTTACAGGGCTATAAAGCTTTATGGAAGCAAATGACCTAATTTTTCTCCTCTGGAGTGACTGGTGGGTTCCAACAGCCAATCTTTTGGTTAGCATCCAACAACTTAACCCACTGTGCCACTAAGTTTCCTTTTCAGGGACATGTATATATTTAGGAATATATATGTTATTAAAAAAAAAAAGGATGCAGTTTGTTGGATGTCTATGGTTCAGAACAAACAAAGTGCATCTTTTTTTAAGATGCACTTTGTTGGATGTATGTGGTCAGTAAGAGTCCTAGTGTGGTACTGTGGGTTAATGTACTGTACTGTAAAGTCGGTTTGAACAACGTTGGAAGTTCAAGCTCACTAGCTGATCCTTGAAAACTCTACACAGGGTCGCTATTGGTAGGAACCGACTTGATGGCACTTTTCAACAACAACAAAATGGTCAGGGGAAAAAAATGTCAAAGAAGAAGAAACTGGGACTTAAACAAATTGAAGTAGTATGTTATAGAGTATGATGTGTTTCATTCACTACTCTAGCCTTGTTGTTGTTAGGTGCAATTGAGTCAGTACCGACTCATAGCTACCTTATGCACAGCAGAACGAGAATCTGGTAAACGTCTAAAACATATGAAAAACACAAGAATGGATAAATCATGGAATGAATGAACAAATGAACCGAGGAGGGGCCCAAAAAATTAAAGTACTTACACACTGTCTGGCTGTGAATTCCAGTCATCTTATAGGCATTCATATTGTAAGAACTGATTTTATAGAAAGGAACATGGATCAAGTTACCTTTTCATCTGTAATTCTAGAAACCAAAAGATAATGAAATGAGCTTAGACACTAATAAGGAAATAGGATGGCAGTTTAACAATCCTGTATTCAACTAATAGAGAATTGTTGAATTGCTGAGTTGCCATTTTGAAGCATTCTACGGGAAAAATCTTGAAAATGCAGGAAGCATCAAAAGAAGATGGAAGGAATACGCAGAGTTACTGTACCAAAAATATCTGGTTGACATTCAACTATTTCAGGAGATAGCATGTGATCAAGAACCAGTGGTATTGAAGGTAGAAATCCAAGCTGTACTGAAAACATTGGTAAAAAACCAGGCTCCAGGAATTGATTGGATACCAATTTAAATGTTTCAATATGCTGATGTAGTCCTGGAAATGCTTACTTATCTATACCAAAAAAAAAATTTTTAATGGAAAGACAGTTACCTGATTAACCAACTGGAAGAGAGTCTTATTTGTGCACATTTCAAAGAATGCTGACCCAACATAATATGGACATTATCAAACAATATCATTAATATCACACACAAGTAAAACATTCCTGAAGAAAAATTTTAAGTGGCTGTAGTAGTACATCATTAGGGAGCTACCTGAAATTCAAGTTGGATTCAGAAGAGGATGTGGAACTAGGAATATCAACGCTGATGTCAGATATATCTAGGTAAAGCAGAGAATACCAAAAAAAAAAAAAGATGTTTACTTGTGTTTTATTGGCTATATGAAGGTATTAGACTCTGTGAATCATAATAAACTCTGGATAACATTGAGAATAATGGGAATTGCATAACATTTAATTATGCTCACATGGAAACTGTACATAGACCAATAGGCAGCTGTTGAAACAGAAAAGGGGATTGTTGCTGCTGTTAGTTGCCATCGAGTCGGTACCGACCCATAGCGACCTTAGCGACCCATAGCGACCTTAGCGACCCATAGCGACCTTAGCGACCCATAGCGACCTTATGCTCAGCAGAACGAAACACTTCCTGATCCTGGACCAACCTCACTAATGTTGTCACGCTTGAGTCCATCAATACTGCCACTTGGCCAATCCATCTCATTGGGGGTCTTCTTCTTTTCCTCTGACCCTCCACCTTACCAAAC